AAATGTAAGAATTGAACTTCTGCTTCACAACAATACTAAGTAGGCAATTGCAGATATGAAATCCATGAAGAGGCCTGACTGACTGTGATTTGACTTTGACAGTTCTGTGACCTTTGAAAGGTCTCTTAACTGTCAGGGGCCTTAGTTTCTTAATCTCTCATCTGTTTGACTTGTCTACTTAAATTCCTTTTTGTTTTAATGGATTAGGATTCCAAAGGCCATTTGTTTTATGGCTGCAGTTTCAACCCAAGTCTGTGCTTAAGCATGTGGGCCTCTTGGCTGTCTGCATGTATTATCTGAAGCCATGTTTTCTATGTCTGCATAGAACATAATTACAACCATAAGAGAAACTAATTAAGTTCTTGATCCTTAGCTCAGCTGCAGTTTGGCTACTGTTGTTAGTTGTGGTCCTTTAATTGAGAAGAGGATACTCATTCCACCTCTCAGGCAGGCAGATTCTGTATTGGCCCTAGAGAAATAAGCGTGAAATATTTTCATTACAAAACATTTCTCTTTCTGCATGTATTTATTTGTACTGTATATCTTAACTCCTATAACAAGAGTCAATGAAGTATTATGTGTGTATATTTATGTATACATATATGTATGTATGTATGTATGTATGTATGTATGTATTCCTATGCATCTATATGGCAGTATTTTAACCTGACACCATTAACAGCCTCAGCATCCATGGCTTAGCTGTGTCCCCCACCCCCACACACACCCCTAAGCCTCTAACTTTGGAAGGCTGGATGGTCTCTTAATGGCAGGGATTTTTTTCCAAAAGACATCTCTGAAAGGCAGTAAAAAGCCTGGGTGAGATATTTTCAGCAAGACCTCCTCACTCATTATTTCAGAACTTCAGGACTGCTATTAAATCACTGTTCTCATAGCCCTCAAAAAAAGTGAAGATTTGATTTATTTTTGTGGGTTTTTTTTTGTTTTGTTTTGAAAGACAAAGGTAAAGAACGTAATGTTGAGTGTGTAGGAAGGTGGGGAGGATCTGGGAGAAATGGAGGGGAGAAACATGATCAAAATATATCATATAAGAAAAAGGTATGAATAAAAACTGTAAATAACATGGAATGTTATATTATTTCTGAAGCAATCTAAAATCCCATATCCACCCTTCCTTTATCCCAACCATCCCATTTCCCCAAGTTCCCCCCATCCTCCCCTTCTCGCTTTTCTCTCCCCATCTCCCCCTCCCCCCACTCCCCCCCCCCCCCAAGATCCCAAATTTTTTGCCCAGCAATCTTNCCACATTCCACCCCACCCCCAAGATCCCAAATTTTTTGCCCAGCAATCTTGTCTACTTCCCATATCCAGGACGATAACTATATGTTTTTCTTTGGGTTCACCTTCTTATTTAGCTTCTTTAGGATCACAAATTATAGACTCAATGTCCTTTATTTATGGCTAGAAACCAATTATGAGTGAGTACATCCCATGTTCATCTTTTTTGGGTCTGGGTTACCTCACTCAGGATAGTTGAGAAGTTGATAAAAAGTATCTGAAAGTATATTAACTCTACTTGATTGTCTAATCGCTCAGGATCTCCAGGTGCTATGATTTGTATGTGAAATGCTCTATGCATGTAAACAGTTGTTCCCGTTCCCAGTTGTTTACGGAAGTAGAACCTTTTTATTATTGGGTACATGCTGGCAGAAGTAGGTCATGAAGGGTGACTTTGAGGCTTTCTCTATTGACTTAGCAAGACAGCGAAGCAAGTCAAATGTCTACACATGACTGAGGGCAGGAGTTCAATCCCCAGAACTCATGTGAAAAAGCTGAGTGTGTTGGTATACTCCTAACTTCCCAGGGCCTAGAAGGCAGGGGCAAAGAGATTCTTGGGACTTTCTGTATAGCCAGTCTTACACACTTAGCAAGTTCCAGACCAATGAGAGATGCAAGAGAGAAATCTGAGGGAGGACACCTTAGGTTGCTCTCTGAGCTCTGTAAACATGCATGCACAATTGTGCACATGCATGAGCATTCTTGGTGGATTGAATAAGAATGGGCTCCTGTGTTTATATAGTTGGTCACTGCTTTGTGAAACAGTTTGTGAAGGATTTGGGAGTGTGCTTTTGTATGAGGAGGTGTGTTCTTGAGATTTGAAAACCCAGACATTCTCAATTAGTTTTCTCCGCCTAGTGTCTCTGGATCAAATATGAACTCTCAGTGGTTGTGCCTGCCTCATGCCTGCTTGCCTGCCTGCTGTCATGTTCCTTGTCATGACGATCTTTGACTGTATCCTTTTGAATACCTTGAATCATGATGCCACAAATTAAATGCTTTCTTTTATAAGTTACCTTGGTCAAGGTGTTTCATTAATACAATTGAAAAGTAACAAAGATAAGCAGGCATATAAGTGCATAGGCACAGAAACTAGAAAATGAAACATGGCTAGACATATTAGGAACCTTTTATTTCAAGCTTTAATGCTTTTTAGGAGTAAGTCATCATTTGTCTATAAATGGTTTTGATTGATCAGACACCATGGAGATTGTCAAAGAATAATGCTACTTTTTAGACTGACTTTATACAAAGTACTAGAGGTACATACAGGCTTATACTACTTAGTTCTGTAACTTCTTAGGTTAGTCCTAAGAGAATATTTAATAATAATTAACAATTTATAATTTCTAAGTTTTTGAGTAGAGAAAATGTAAAATCTATTGTTTATCTACTTATAAATCCTACTATATTAAAACTATCAATTTGTTGAAGATATTAACTAAACTGATTTAACTTAATAAAAATGAAAGGGTCTTTTTTGGTTGGTTTGTTTGTTTTGCCACTACATACACAATACCAGGTTAGTCACTCGGAGAGGATATACAGAGTGAGAAGGTGCTTGTCCTCAGTTCTGACAATGAGAGAAAGAAAATGCGAGGAAGAAATAAAAATATGAATGGAAGCAAAAACCCAAACTGTCCAACACATTTTGGAAAATAAGGGAGTTACTCTGGAAGAGATCGTATATCCTTTGGTTTTCTAGTACAGTAATTTTGGGAATGCTTTCTTAAAGACTGTCTTACATTAAAGACAGCAGAGAAGTTTGTTTCCCAGTCCACAAAGCCATTTTTAGAGATAAATGATGCATTGCTACTTTTAGTTATTGAAGCTGGACTGTTCCATCTTACATTCAAAACCCTTTTATGGGGATTTGGATCATAGGGTAGGACTTCATTAGTGTAGATATTATCTCACAGTCCTACTCAACTTCAAGTTGATTCTCTGTTGCAGTGAACATTTCTAATCAACCAATATAAACTGTAGTTTGTATTTGAATGTCCAATCATTGATTAATCTCTGAGATGCACCAGGCCAAGACTGCCTCTGCTAGCTTTGTTATGAATTTCTTTTTATATTATATATACTAGCAATTAAAAAATTAAGAGTTAGCCAATAAGATGCTAGAGCTAATGGGCCAAGCACTGTTTTAAATAAAACAGTTTTTATGTAGTTATTTCGGGGCTAAGCTAGCCAGACAGCCAGGACAAACAAGCAGGCCCTCCTCCTACAAATCGGTGCCCACGTGACCAACTAAATCCACATAAAACCTGAGAGAGCTTGAGAGGGAATTCAAGACAAAACAAAAACAAAAGCAAAAAAAAAAAAAAAAAAACCACAAAGTTTAACACAGCTTCTTGCTGTTTGCTGGTGCCTTGCTGCAGCTTCTTTAAGAGAGATTTTCCTGATTCAGCTGTAGCAGGAAAAAAGCGGCAGTTTTAAAATGCAGGCTTTCTGGGCCACTGCTGGCATGAACTCTGACTCTTTCAGGCAGGAGGCCTGGCTACAGAGCATTTGGGTTGGGTTGAGTTAGGCAGCTTGTTAATGACAACTTGGACCAGCTTTGTGCCTGGAACTGGGGTGGTGCGTGTAGCTCAGAGGTGCAAGCAGCTCTGCCTCGCTGGACTGTGCAGAGCTAGCTGGCAGTACCGTATATGTCATAGTAATTGCGCAGCTTAAGTTTTAGACTGGGCAGGTAAGCAGAAAGTACCATATTTGACCTAGTAATGTCATGGCTTAGATTCTTGAGCACTTAGCATTTTAAAAGCACAAAGCAAAAGCACTCTTGGACAGTAAAGAATTACAGATAATGCAATAAGGACAGATTCAGACATAAAAGACCCCTAAGTGGGTAACAATGTTTGATAAATGTACATAGGCTTGGGAGAGAGAGGAAAAAGAATATAGAAAAAGAGGTAAAGTCTTTAAAGAGACAGAACAAAAATAAATAAGCCACATAAAAATGGAAAATTCATGGAGAGTCTGGATTATATATATCATTGTGTCTTCTTTGGATTTTTTGACTGTGAGGAGATAAGTACAGAGAGACATTGTATGGACTGCTAAGTTAAACCAACATAAAGGTATCTTGATTCCAAAATTTTAGTCTAAGGATATGTTGCTTTGGAAAAGAGATTCTTCTTTTGTTTTCACAGAAGATGAGAACCTGTGGATTGCTTCTAGACCAATTTTATAGACCACGCCCCACCATGAAAGGTTGCTGTAAACATCCTCAAAAAATAACTTAACCCAACTGCTGACTGAGATGAACCTAGCATACAGGATACACCATGAACGACCTGATTAACAATGCCCCAAAACAGCAGGAAAACGTTTAGCAAAATAACTATGCCCATATTTCCAAATATTGACTATAAATGTTTGTTTGACATTTAAAAGGGGTTATGATATAGATACAAATAATTTGCCTTGGTACAAATCTTGGTCTATGGATGCAAATTTAAGGTCAGTTTTGTTATTGTATATTTCTGATCTTTAGTAAGGTATTGTGTTTGTGTAATTCATTTAAAAATGTATAATTAAGTAATACAAATTAATAAATACTCATTTATAATAGTTAAGCATGTAGTCATGTTAGTTAAAATATCTAGATGTATAGAGATAAGTTTCAGTTAGATAGGTATTCTTTAAGTCTTTCAGAGACCTTCAGAATATGACATTTAAAATGTTTTAATAATTAGGACTTTTCATGACAATGAAACACATCTGCTTCTGGCAGAACCAATTACTTTGAGAGGAAGAGGCCATTGAAGAGGCTCCTTAGCCATTTGAACAAGAAACTGCTCATGCCTGCACTACTTAAGTGTACATGCAGGACCCACAGAGAAATGACTGCTGAATTTACCTAAAGGTAAGATGATCTTTCTTGTACACTGTGAAAATGTATCTTTGTCAAGGTGCCTTCTGATTGTTTTAATAAAGAGAGAAATGGCCAATAGCTAGACAGGAAAAGGTTGAGCAGGACTTCCTAGCAGAGAGAAAAACGGAGATGAATCTATGTGAGGGAGAGGCCAAGGAAAGGAAATCGGAGGTCCAAGTGGAGGAGTGGTAAAAGCCATGAGGCAAAACATAGATTAATATAAATGGGTTAGTTTACGTTGTAAGGCTAGTGGGATGAGCCTAAGCTATAGGCTGATCTTTCATAATAATAAGTCTCTGTGGTTTTTTTTATGTGAGCTGGCAACTGAAATAAAAATCTCTGTACAGGTAAATATTTCTAAGATTATTGTTTATAATTAAAAATACTAATATATACTAGAATAATACTAGTGACTCATAAATAATTAGAATTATACTATTTCTCTGTCTCTTGTAAGACCATAGTATTGCCCTATATTTTCTAGTACTAAATATAGTTCCAATATATTATTGATATTCTATAATATCATTACATTGAACTTGAACAACACACCTATGGAAAAAGAATTATTACCCCAATTCTCTTTTCCATGTAAAGAAACTGAGGCATATGTTGATTAAGTAACTTATCCCTGATCATAAAGTTAAAAGGGTCACAATTTATTTCTGGCACCCTGAATCTGATAATCATCTTGTCCATAATTAAGCTATGTGTCCTCTCAACAAAATAGCCTGTGCCATAGTTTTGCCATTTCTGGAGAAGGGATCCATAGTCTTAAAGTTTTAGATCTGCAGCCTATGTCTGTCTCTCCTCATAATTATTCAACGTTAACAGAATGAGATATTTATGTTTATGTCATCTACTCGTTTTTCTCTCGCCGTTGGTCAGAGAAACTTCTGTTGTAATAGATGATGGTTAATGCAGAGTTTCACAACTGAGCTCAGTTGTTAGTAGTCATGAATGCCCAGATGTGATTGATTTACATAGACGAACGTTCTCAATTTAAGGCTCAGAGAACATCGTGGAAGTTGGATAGAAAAAATGTAAGAGATAGCAGAAGGTGTGTGTGTGTGTGTGTGTATGTGTGTGTGTGTGTGTGCTGTCTTCTGGAAATGACATATCTGTATATCTGTTGCACTCATAATTTCCCTTACATGACTTTATTCATGGAATATGCTCTGACAGTTGATGATTTCAGAGAGTTATTCTCTTTTGGAGATATGGTTGCTGATAGGTTAGACATGCCTATGTGGATGGCCCAGTACTTGTGTGCATATGGCCAATGTTAACCTAGACTTATTGATTATAGAAAAGAAGAGGACATGAAGCTGGAAGGGAGGAGAGGTGGAGCCATTGTGGGAATTGGAGGAAAGAAATGGTAGAAGGATATGATCTAAATATATGCTATAATTTTTTAAAACATTCAGAGAATAAAATACTTTTAAGAAAAAAAAAGAGGATGAGATGAGAAGACAAGATACTAAGCTATGGTCAGTTAGGATTACTATTAGGTCATGGTCATGAAATACCATGACCAAAAACACCTGAGGAGGAAATGGTTTTCCATTTCCATTCCAGATTACTCTTCTACAACACTGTTCATCATTGAAGGAAGTGAAGCAGAGCAGGAACTTAGGGGAAGGAGCTGACACAGAGGGCATGGAGGGGTGCTGCTTACTGGCTTGCTCATCAAGGCTTTCTCAATATGCTTTCTAATGGCATCCAAGACCACCATCTGCTTGATGGCAATGCCTACAATGGGCTGGGCCTTCTCACATCCATCACTACTTAAGAAAATGCTCTACAAGCTTGCCTACAACCCCATGTTATGAAGAGACATTCTTTTTTCTTTTTTTTTAATTATTATAGATGTCTATTAACCTGTATTTCTAAATTATACATTACATTTTTAATTGAGCTATACAAGCACAATAACCCAAACAAGAGTAGAAATATGCATACAGTATAGCAAAAATAACTTTAAGTTTATATCAATATACCCAAATCAATACGAATGCAAAATATTTGAGGTTAATAGTTGTCTTTTTATCCTATATTCCTATATTCCCAATAAATAATAACAAATATCCATAACCCACTAAATGTTCAAAAACCACCCACTCCACCTCTTGGAAATGTGGGTGCTGTGTTCTCTAGACTGCTCCCTGTTGTCTAGTGGCAATAGCATCTTTAGGGGTACCCTAAGTAATTGAGATAATGGTCAAGTCCTGGTAAAACTAAGTATAACATTTGTTGTCAAGTCTCAGAACTGTTCTCATGTCAAAGCAAAACCTTATACTTTATTATTTTTTTATTATTTTTTTATTAAAAATTTCTGTCTCCTCCCCGCCTCCCATTTCCCTCCCCCTCCCCCCACTCTCCTCCCTTCCCTCTCCAGTCCAAAGAGCAGTCAGGGTTCCCTGCCCTGTGGGAAGTCCAAGGTCCTCCCCACTCCATCCAGGTCTAGGAAGGTGAGCATCCAAACTGGCTAGGCTCCCACAAAGCCAGTTCATGCAGTAGGATCAAAACCCAGTGCCATTGTACTTGGCTTCTCAGTCAGCCCTTCTTGACCAGAACGTTCAGAGAGTCCAGTTTGATACCATGTTTTTCAGTCCCAGTCCAGCTGGCTTTGGTGAGCTCCCAATAGATCTGCCCCACTGTCTCAGTGGGTGGGTGCACCCCTCGCAGTCCTGACTTCCTTGAAGAGACTTTCTTAATTCAGGCTCCCTCCTTTCAGATGACTCTAGCCTCTGTCAAGGTGACATAAAATTTAGTCAGCATAGGTACTATACGTTTAAGGCCTTGGCAGAGATGATTTTTTTTTTGAAAAATTTTTTTTTATTGAGAATAGGAAAAAAAAAGTTTCCGCCTCCTCCCAGCCTCCCATTTCCCCCCCCTCCCCCCACTCATCTCCCCCTCCCCCCACTGCTCTCCCCTTCCCTCTCCAATCCAAAGAGCAGTCAGGGTTCGCTGCCCTGTGGAAAGTCCAAGGTCCTCCCCCCTCTGTCCATGTCTAGGAAGGTGAACATCCAAACTGGCTAGGCTCCCACCAAGCCGGAACATGAAGTAGGATCAAAACCCCTTGCCATTGACCTTGGCTTCTCATCAGTCCTCATTGTTTGCCATGATCAGAGAGTCCGGTTTTATCCCATGC